TAAAGCGTTTGGATTCAGTGTCCCGATCGCCCATATATTCACACTTCTCAGAGACAGTGACCGGCGCCTCATCCATACGAGCTTACGGTGCGATTCAACGCTTTATTGAGGAGTCAAACCGGAAAGTCGATGAAAATCACAGCTGCTATTACTCTAGTGTTGTGTCCAGTCGTTGGCTAACCGTTAGACTCGAGTTTTTAGGTAAGAATTAGGTAAACGTTGCATAAAGCAAAATTGACCTGTTTGCTATCTTCAATAATAGGAAATTGTGTGGTATTCTTCACATCCCTATTCGCAGTGCTATATAGGGGCACATTATCTCCAGGAAATGCCGGTCTGTCCATTAACTCTGCGTTGCAAATAACGGCAACACTTAATCAATTAGTCAAAGGAAGTACTGATTTAGAGTCCAATATTGTTTCCGTTGAGAGGATAATAGAGTACACGAAAGAGGAACAGGAGGCCGAGTGGTTCAGAGATGAATCCAAATTGAATGAGTCCTGGCCCTCAAACGGTGCCATTAGTTTCAATCGCTACAGTACCAGATATAGGGAAGGACTGGATCTGATCCTGAAACAAATAGATGTGAATATAGAGCCGGGAACTCGAGTGGGAATTGTTGGCCGAACCGGTGCTGGAAAGTCATCCCTAACACTGGCTCTCTTCAGAATTATTGAAGCTGATAGCGGTTCCATATCTATAGATGGTGTCACTATAGCTGATCTGGGTCTACAAGAATTGAGATCCAGGTTGACTATCATCCCTCAGGATCCGGTGCTCTTCACGGGTACTCTACGAATGAATTTGGATCCATTCAACAGGTATTCGGACAGTCAGTTATGGACAGCACTAGAGTTGGCTCATCTGAAGAAATACGCCAATTCTTTAGAGGCCGGACTCGACCACCAAATATCAGAGGGCGGCGATAATCTGAGCGTCGGTCAGAAGCAATTGGTATGTCTGGCCAGAGCTCTACTCAAGAAGTCTAAGATTCTAGTCTTGGATGAGGC